AAAAAAAAAAAAAAAAAAAAAAAAAAAAAAAATTCTTCTAAGTTCTAACGTCCTTTTTTCCACTTGTTTAGCATATGAAGACTTTTCCTACTGAAAACATACCCTTTTAAACAGCAGTATAAATATCAAAGAAGTGTCTTTTCAGAATTGAATAAATTTTGCTAGAAATTAGCTGGTTTTTTCCCCCTACTCTCCTCACAGAACATTATCTTATTCACCTAGTTTGAAGTGCTCTAAAATCACAGACCAAAAAGTCCACATTAGAATCTCGTTATCGGAACCTCCCTGGTGGCGCAATGGTTAAGAATCTAACTGACAGTGCGTGGGTTCGAGCTCTGGTCCGGGAGGATCCCACATGCCACAGAGCAACTAAGCCCGTGAGCCACAACTACTGAGCTTGAGCTCTAGAGCCCGCGAGCCACAACTACTGAAGCCTACACGCCACAACTACTGAAGCCCGTGTGCCTAGAGCCCGTGCTCCGCAACCAAGAGTAGCCCCCATTCGCGGCAACTAGAGAAAGCCCACGCGCAGCAACAAAGACCCAACGCAGCCAAAAATAAATAAATAAATAAATAAATTAGAACCCCATTATCTCTCTATGTTTGGTGACGGATGTTAACTGGACTTATTGTGGTGGTCATTTCATAATATATACAAATATCAAGTCATCGTGTTGTATACCTGAAACTAACAGAACACTGTATCCCAATTATACCTCAAAACAAAACAAAATGAATCTCGTTAAAGTATCCACACTGAATAGAACCCAAATATTAGCAATCTTCACGAGTCCTTGGCTGGTAGGTTTACAAGTATTTACTACATTATTAAAAATGACTAATTAACTAACTAAAGAAGATCACTGTACATACCAAAGATAAGAGTGGTCCCATGAACTAAAGAGTATTATTAATCTAATTCTGGGCACCTTAAGTCCAATAAGGCTTAAAGAACAAGAGAAAACAAAAAAGAAAAAGAAGTTCTGGAATCTATAAATTCTCGCCAAGGTAACTGTACTCAATAGGTACTTCATACTTACTGAGTAAGTTAAATCCAAATTGATGTTTTCTGGACTTGTAACTTGTTCTCGTTGCCTCACCAGGACTCTCTCTTTTCTTCCTGCATCTTTTGCCTTTTCTAAGGCCTGAAATCAAATGTATACTGTGTAAACTCCTCTGAGCACTCACACGGAATTTGGTGCATTAGGGAAGTGTCTGCGGGAAGCAGGGGTGGCTGCCATTACCCCTGGGTTCCCTGATGCCCCGTGTGCTCCTACCATAAACTCCCTTTCTATTGTTTAAACGGGAGCTCTTCCTCCCGCATGGAAAGGCTGAGTGTCTTCTCTGGGAAAAAAGAGGAAGCGTGGGGGTTAAGACCTGGAGCACACCTGCTCCACGTCGAGGTTCTCCATCACCTCACCTCCCACCCGCTTTCGGTCTGACCATGTCTATCTACTTCCTTTTTCCTCCCAACTCCTGAATCTTTGGTGTTTTAATTCAATCTCATGAGGTAGGAATTTAGGTGGATTTGTTTGGTTTCTCGGATGCTCAAAATACAGACAAGTATTGGATCATGGATCATGGATAACTGCTACCCAATACGACAACAGATCCTTAGTTTCGCTCAGATCTTACTCAGGATGCCAAGAACCTTTTATCAATTTCCACTGAGAGACTGACCACAGTCACATTAATTAAACATGGAATTTTTTTTTTTAGAACTAGATAAAAAAGCACAGGTTCTGTGAGCAATAAAAGTAGCTTATACTGGGGCCTCCCTGGTGGCGCAGTGGTTGAGAGTCCGCCTGCCGATGCAGGGGACGCGGGTTCGTGCCCCGGTCCGGGAGGATCCCATGTGCCGCGGAGCGGCTGGGCCCGTGAGCCATGGCTGCTGGGCCTGCGCATCTGGGGCCTGTCCTCCGCAGTGGGAGGGGCCACGACAGTGAGAGGCCCATGTACCAAAAAAAAAAAAAAAAAAAAAAAGTAGCTTATACTGAACCTTTCTAATGGTATTCATTGATCTGATAACTAAGTCACAGAAATTATATTTATGTGGTATGATGACCAAAGTAATGTGAACAAAGCAAACTAAGAGAAAAGATTCAATTTAAAAAAAAGCAGCAGAGTTGGATTGCCAAGAAGCAAACCACGATTTTGCAGTTTACTTAGGACAAAATACTTTAGAGCAGTCAGCCTTGAAGGAGAAAACAGCCCTTAGTGCTGTGTGTGGGCCATGGGCTCCACCTGCAGCAGGCTGTGCGTCCCATTCAGCAGTCCACCAGGCTGCAAAATTTAGCCAACCAATGCAATGGAATTTTTTCCCCTCCTTAAATGACCAATGTGAAAAATTACAAAATCAGCCAATTGTTTTGACTTCAGAGTTTATGAAGCAGAGTTTCAACTGCAGGTTCTCAAAATAATTATTTCAGTGAAAACTCTAAGGCCAGTCCACAACAAAATGAAAGTATTTATCTATACATGTGCTTACATAGGTACATACATAAAGATACATATGCACACACTTCACAATCTTGAATCTTATAGTTTATGAACTCACCAATTTTAAGTCTCCACAACTGTTAGCAATACAGCTTTCTTCTACCAACTCATTTACTTTCTTCTCTAATTGTCTTATCTTTTCTTCTGGACTGTTAAAGAAAAAAGTAAGTATATTTGAATCATTCAACCACTAACAATACACACAAAATTTAACCTACTTTTAACATTGTTCATCATGTGCTTATAAACTTTAAGAGTAAGTCACAGATAAGACAAATATATAAGGGGCCTTAAAGAATAAATGTGCCACTGTTTTTAATAACTACATTATATAATTATTCATAATAGTAAAAATAACCAACATTTATTTAGCATAAGTGTAATTTAATTTTGAGCTAAATGCTTTACCCTAATTATGTCACTTAATCTTCACAAGAATATTTGATACAAGTACTATCATTATCTCATTTCACTGACAGGGAAACTGAAGTTTAGAAAGTTAAGTATTGGCGGTCCAGTGGTTAGGATTCTGTGCTTCCACTTCAAGGGGCACGGGTTCGATCCCTGGTCAGGGAACTGAGATCCCACAAGACACACAGGGCGGCAAAAAAAAAAAAAAAAACGAAAGAAAGTTAAGTACTAAGCCTGAGATCATACAGCTAGTAAGTAACAGAGCCAGGATTTAAACACATGATAAGGTAACTCTAGGGCCATGCTATTGCATTACCATCCCCAAAGGAAAGCAGATTCTATGGCAAATGAAAACTTTATCTATGGTTAGAAAGACTGAAGACCCCATAAAAGAGAGAAAATTATTTACTACCAAATAGATACCACAGAGACTTTTTTTTTTTTTTTTGGCCGTGCTGTGTGGCTTGTGGCATCTCAGTTCCCCGTCCAGGGATCGAACCCGGGGCCATGGCAGTGAAAGCACCAAGTCCTAACCACTGGGCCGCTAGGGAAGCCCCACTCACCACAGAGACTTCTAACGAGGTGAGGAAGTTTAAAACCCTGACTTCATTAGTAGCAAACGAAGTGTCCCCAGATCAGCCATGTTTCAAACACAACACCAGTGTTGCTTTACTACCACTTTCTTTCAATAAAACACAACACTCTGAATGTACGTTACTGCCTAAATAAACTTTTACTACAAATATATCACAGTAAACATCAATTCTCTTAATTCTCTACAAATGGACTTTTAAAAAGAACACAGGAATAAATTTCACAGTATAGGTTTGTCTATAAAATCATATTCTTCAGTAAAACCTGGGATTAAGACAACATATTTTATTAGTTTATAGAGATTGCAAAATTCTAATAATAGATGGTGGCTTTCTAAAGGTTAAAAAAAGTTCAGAATTCAAAGTACGGAATTCTATTTTCAAGCTGTCTGAAACACTCTAATAAATGTCTTTAAATGTTGCTTACAGGTTGTTATAATTAAGCCTAAAATATCAATATAAAAATGTAACGCTAAAACTCTGTAAGAGAATTTTATGAAGACAGTGAAAGTCACTACCCCATCCCTACCAGCCGCCAGGAGAATGAACTCTGTGCAGACACTGCTGGGCGCCTCCACAGGAGCCTGCCGCCGCCCTGCGTCCCTGAACGCGAAAGCTAGGCTACAGGAGAGTCTCACCCTCCTGCCGAATGTCTGGTTCCATCAGGCACGTGTGATGAATTTCTGGCCAATGAGAAATGAAGACGCGTCTGCCTGGGGCAGATGTCTCCCGGAAAGATCCCTGCTCTTCAAAGAGGACCTAAGACTGAGCACCTTCTGACTCTAGGTTTTATCAACTACAGGAAGGTTCTGAGCTCCCGTGGCCCTCCTGGAATCACGAGGATGGGCAGGCTCTTGAGAAGAGCCAAGAGAATCAGAAAGAAGCTGAAGCAGCGTGAGGTTATTGAGAAGTTAAATTAACCATCCTCCAGGCCTCCTGTTATGGGAGATAATAAAACATTCTTGTTGTGTGTGTTTTTTCTGACGTTTCCAGCTGTTAGCAGCTGACAGGATCCTAAATGACATATTTAAGTAAGATAACATGTATTTGTTAGCAAACTTGCTGTCATTAACTAGGATACAAAGTACACTGACTTTCTATATAAGTTCCTTATTAGTCAAAAAGAGAAATTATGTAATTTATACAATAGCCCAAATACCAGGTTTAAGAATTACAATTTAAAAACATGAGCCCTGGGGCTTCCTTGGTGGCGCAGTGGTTGAGAGTCCACCTGCCGATGCAGGGGACACGGGTTCGTGCCCCGGTCCGGGAAGATCCCACATCCCGCCGAGTGGCTGGGCCCATGAGCCATGGCCGCTGAGCCTGCGCGTCCGGAGCCTGTGCTCCGCAACGGGAGAGGCCACAACAGTGAGAGGCCCGGGGACCGCAAAACAAACAAACAAACAAACAAACATGAGCCCTGGAAGTAGACCGCCTGGGTTCAAGTCTCAGTCCTGCCGTGTACTAGCCTGACCCAGCGAGCTCTCCGTGCTTCCCTCCCCCTGAACTGATGACACAAGAGCTCAGGGAAGCTCGTGCACAGCGCAGGGCACGCAGTGATCGCACAGAGAGCACTCGGTAAATGCTGGCTGCTATCACTATTTGTAAAATCTAATGGTGCTTAGATATCAGTAAATGTACACAGCTGAATTTACACCATAGCTTTTTAGCTACTCTCTAGTCAATGGCACAAAACTAAGTTAATTCTATAAAAAATTATATTTCTCAATATCAATATGACAAACTAACTTATACATTTTCTTAATTTTTTTCTTTGAAATACTCTTTTAAAATAAGAATATCTTATTACATGTACAGCAACATTTGGCCTTCAAGAGAATCAATACTGGCACGTACAAAAATCAGATACATCTTCGAGTCAATAATATTACAGTAAAACTGCATGGAATACACAGGGCTGCTTTTCTGAGACTTGATTCTTTTGCTAGTTCCGAGAACCAGGGATGATGCTTTGGTTACTATTCTGCTGACATGAACTTTTCAAATACGTAAGGATTATGTACTTGAGAAGTAAAAGTTAAGAACATGCAACCAACCACAGCAGAGCAGCACAGGACTTGCATACCTGTCTTCGTTCCTGGCCTCCAGGGGCGGTGCAGGGCCCCGTGACTGACCGAGGGGGTCGAACGCAGAGCCTGAGACACAGTCAAGAGTTCACGTTTAGTGCTCAATCCAGCACAACTGAACGGATATGAAACCGCGCACATGCTATTTAATTTACCTATTTATTAAACGGAATGGACATTTTTATGCTTACATAAATATTTTGCATATGAAGAAACTGGTAAGATTTTTAACATACCTAAAAACATGTAAATAAAACTGTGTGTTACCATGTAAAAACAAAAATAAATATCTCTCAGTATTTATTTCTCCCCCATAGTAATCTATCCCTATTATGAACTCTAAATGGCCAATCATGTGAGTAATAACCTGGTATTAGCCTTTTAATTTTCCATTACTGGTATAATAATCATTAATTTTTGTCATAACAATTTTATTTAAAAATTATTATTTAACTTATCATATATTTAAATACTGTTTTCACCTTTAATTCTTTAGCTCTAACTCACATACAAATTTTAGATGTAGAGCTCGGCATGTTTTGGCAGATTACATGCCAGTGTAACTACCACCTCAACTGGGATGCAGAACATTTTCATCACCCCTTTCCTTTCTTAATGGTACCTAAAATAATCAATGGCATGTTAGATATGGTAATATATTTACACATACAAAAACATTTAAAAAATTTAAAGATCTGAAAAAAATTAATAGCTGAAATAGAACAAACCTCTCAAAGCTGCTTTGGTAAAACCAGCTGCTCTCACTGCTGTCATGGGTCTAGTAACTCCATCCTTAGGAGAACAAGCATCATTTAAAGAGCATTCTTAAATAAGACCTGCCTCTTACTTGCAGAGCTGCACGACACACGTTGTAAATACAGCCTAGCGTGTAACACTGGTTTCGTCCCCTGCCGGCTTGCTCCGTGCTCCCACCTCCTCATGTGCCGGCCTGTCTGCACTTCACCTTTCCTCTGTCAAATTCTGATTCCTTGTCTAACTGGACTTACTCCCAGTTTGAAAAGAAAAGCACTCTTAAGGATTTTTAGATAGTACCTTACGCAGCTTAGTAGCTGGCTACTCCCCTACTTTTGGTTGGTCTCCTATATGCCTAAGAGAGAAACCACAGAAACTGCTGTAAATGACAGCAAAGGAAGAGCGGGTCCCAGAGTACATCCTACAAGCAAACTATCAGGCCTATGTCCATTCCCAGTGGGATTTCATTTGAGACCTGAGTAAATAAATCCAAAGAGACTTTGCCACCAAAGATTTCAAAAGGTCCAAACTTCAGCCCACAGTTTAAAGAACCAGGGTCACTATATAAGTAACAACTTAAAAAAACTTTGGTAATAATATTCTAAGTCACAGGAAAGGCCCAAAATGAACACCCACACAATGGAGATACCTGAATAGCCCCTGTCATTGGTCTTCCCATTGACGATGCCAGGGATGTCTTGGACTAGTAAACAAAAAACTAAGTTAAAACGATTCCAAAAAATGCCTACATTTAATTTTATAAACCAAAGTATAAAAGTTTTCTTTATAACATTTTTTCCTTCATCCTATTGGCAAGTAAACCTAAACATAATTTTTTTCCATTTATCTCCCGAGGATATAGGATCAAACAATAAAACTCTAAAACAGGCATTGGCAAACTATAACCCGCAGCCTTTGTACTGGGACACAGCCGCAGTCCATTTGCCTGTACATCGTCTGTGGCTGCCTCTCTGAAAATGCTGAGCTGGGTTCCGAAGAGCCTAAACCACAGGGCCCTTCACAGAAAAGCTTGCTGTCTCCTATTCAGAAACATCACCAAAAACCAAATTTATGAGTGATACCTGCTTTGGCTGATTAATAAACGTATGCATCACATGACACACTGTTATATAACGTATAAGGCCACTTTCTTCATTCACAGGAAGGGACACTTGGAAGGCAAGTGCCCGGGACCTCTAGGTTCTAAAACCATTTTTATGACCCCTAAGAAATATTATCATAAAGACTAGGAAACACTATTTCACCTCATTCCTCCATTTTTCTCCCATTCCTTTATTATTTCACATAAGCTAAAATATCCAAATTGTAGGTACTTTGGGCAAGATTTAGAAGATTTTATTTTATGGATTTTAATATAGCATCTTTCCTCCAACGATCTCAAATAAAAGCAAGACCCAATTATATGCCTCTGAAGTTTTTCTTAAATTTTATTTTTTCATGTATTAATTATTAAGTTTTTAAAAATTATAAACATTATGTTTAAATAACATCTAACCTCACATAAGATATATGAATGGAATACACATGACATTTGGTTATATTATATAGAAAATGAAAAGAAGTCAATCAACAAACACGAGGTTTACAGGTAGGAAAAAACAATAAAATATTTTCTGTTATATTTAAAACCAAAATGACTAGAATATTTAAAGCTATTAATCAACAATATATAATGTTCATCACTAACCAAAATGGAAAATATATCCAGGTCATGGGCTGAAAGGTAGCCAGACTTATTTAGAACTAACTGCCTAAACTGAACTTATGTATGAGAAAATGCATCTTCATATCTTCAGCTTAAGAAAACCTACCCCACATCCAGTAGCTACAGGTCTAGCAACTGCTGTGCTTGGTATTTTAGCAGTTATCTTGGGGAGGAAAAAAAACATAGTTAATAGAATTCAGATTAAGTTATATAATAGAAAACTGGAAAAGAAATAGAAAATATAGGCTCATCAATAGAGAAATATTTATATAATATTTAGAATAATTTCTTTTAAATTATTCTAAATATTAACGAGCTCAAGTATTTTAAGTATCAGGAAGGAGACCTATTCTGGAACTCATTTTAAAGGAGAAAAAGGACTTTAGAATGACTTGAGGGGCCAATAAGACAGATGAGTCTTCACGGTCACGCCTACCATTCATTTTGCGTGATTATCACTGCCAGACCGCTGGGTCTAACAACAGACAGAGGATCTCAGGGAATCTGGGGTTGAATCTCAGCTCTCCCTCCACTTGCTTGTTTATTTTATCTCTTTGAACCTAAATGTTCTCATCTCTGAAATAAAGATACAAAGTATGTTGATCACAAAGTTGTAACTGGAATCAAACAGGACCACAGAGGTGAAAAAGTGCGCTAAACAGGTTAGCTGTTGGGCATCTTTGTTTAAGTATTTGATTAAAACATCATTTTTAGAGGAGTTCTACTTCTGGCTTGACGGACCACTGTTTTAAACATCTCTCCCTCTAAGAACTACTAAGGCGGCTGGGGACAAAAATATTTTTGCTAAAAATCAGTTTGTATACATTAGAGAACCATCAAGGCCATGAGGAATTACAAGGCCTCAAGCTGAGGAACAGAAGGGAAGACTGAGGGCTGAGCTGCGTCTGGGCTGCTCTTCTCCCAGGGGTGTCTGTTAATGCGGAAGGCCAGGCCGCAAGGGTGAACAGAGCTTTTCACAGAAGACAGGACTGAAGACATAAACCCTGGAGCTGGGCCTGCTGAGGTGGCAGCCCTGGGAATCCTCCAGTATTCAGACTTGACTAACCTCCAAAGGCTACACTCAGACTGGAAGGGAAATCAGAAGGACACCAGCCCTTGTAAGACCTGAGCCCAATTCAGAATCATCTCAAACTCAACTGGCTTGAGGTGATTCAGGGTTCCTTGCATCTCTGAGGCCATAAGCAAAAGTAAATTCTCTCCAGTAAAAGGTATCTGTCCTGATAAGGCAGCCACTACCCACATGTGGCTGTTGAGCATTTGAAGTGTGGCTCAGGCAATAGGACCTGGATTTTAAAACGTTACTTACTTTTAAATGATTTAAATAGTCACATGTGGCTAGTGGTTATCACACTAGACAGCAGAGACATACAGCCGTAAATTATCTCTAAAAATTTGCATTTACAATGCCTGGCATTCAATCTAAAACAACCAGACACATAGGAACAAGACTACCTAACCAAAACCAAGAGAAATAAATGGAAAGACAGGCAGAAGGGGAAACATGCGATGGAAACATCAGACACAGGCTTTAACACAACTATGGTCGATACGTTCAGCGAATTAAAAGACAAGATGACAATTTCAGTAGACAACTAAAAACTATAAAAAATGGATGAATGGAAATTCTAGAACCGAAAACTGAAAATAACGTAAAATTCTGGCATTGTCCAGAAAGTTGTAAAATACTAAATTATACTAGACTTTGATAAGTTAAAGATGAGTATTGTAATCTTTACAAAAACACTAAAAAATGGCTAAAGAATGTAAGCTCCCAAGATAACAGAAGGAGAAATGGAATAATAAAAAATAAACAAAAGAAGATAAGAGGGCTTCCCTGGTGGTGCAGTGGTTGAGAGTCTGCCTGCCGATGCAGGGAATGCGGGTTCGTGCCCCAGTCCGGGAAGATCCCACATGCCGCAGAGCGGCTGGGCCCGTGAGCCATGGCTGCTGAGCCTGCGAGTCCAGAGCCTGTGCTCCGCAACGGGAGAGGCCACGGCGGTGAGAGGCCCGCGTACCGTACCGCCAAAAAAAAAAAAAAAAGGAGATAAGAAAGGAGAGAAAATGAAACATAAAAAAGGCAGGAAAAAACAAACAGCAAATACTAAGGCAACAAATTTAAACCAAATCCGTAATTTCATTAAATGTAAATAGACTAAAAGAAGAAGATTATCTGACAATATTAAAACAAATACAAAAAACCCAGAGCTCTATTCATGCTGCTAATAAATACATCTTAAATATACAGATATGAGAATGCTGGAAGTAAAAAGATGGGAAAGACATACAATGTAAACACTAGACAAAGAGAGCCTGAGTAGCTCTAGCAATATACTAATATTTGACAAGACAGACAAACAGCATTACTAGAGATAGGATATTTTATAACAATAAAAGGGTCAATTTAACACAAAAATATAACAATTCCAAATGTCTTTACTCCAAATATATAAATCAAAAACCTAAAAAAAAGGAAGAAAACCACAATCACAGTGTAAGATTTGACCGTTTTTCTCATTAATAGAACTGTAGTTCCTCTCCACAAAAAAAATCAGTAAAAATACAGAAAATTTGAACAAAACCATTAACAAACTTGACTTAATTGACAGATAACAGGTCTTGGAAAAACATGAAAAGGAAGGATGTGGGTCTCAGCAACATTTTTCTGTGAGAACAAATTGAAGGAAAGAGACCATTTTTCTTTTTAACTACTCACTAATGACCAGATCTGTTCTTCTGGGTTTTATTTTTGGCACTGGACTGATCTCTTAAGTGGACTGGATCCTACGTTACCTTTCTTCACCTTGCACCCTCACCCACACTGCCTTTCCTCACAGATCTCAAGGGCAATCTGAACTGTGCACATCCTTAAATATTCAACTGTAAATCTATCTTCTAAGCAGCCTCTTCTGATTGTCCCAACTAGTGATAAAGAACTTATCTTTGTGGTCCCATAGCAATTTATACTCTTTTTACAACACATAATATATTATGCCTTGTAATTTCTATTTCTGTCCATTTTATTCTCCTCCTTAAGTTCCTCTGGAGCTAGCTGGAATTTTATCCCTCTTAAGTGAGCCCAGTCCCTTTCATATAACAGTTGCACAAATTTTTCCCATTTAATACAGTATGTAAGGTGTGATGAAAATATCATTCAAGGCGGCTGGAGACCTGAGCTCTGTCCTGGTTACAGGTAAGTGTGAGACCTCGCCTCCCCAGGCTTGTTTTCCTCATCATAACGTGAGGATCTCTGAAGTCATTTCTAAATATGATGAAGGACCAGTCTGGAGACATTACCACCTGTCTGATACCCAGAATCACTAAACTGAAGACAATGTTTGCTTATTTACTAAGTCATGTGATAAAGATCTGTGGAGGACCCACAGCAGGCAAAGAGAGAACAATATGATGGTCCGCCTCCTCAGAAAGCTTATGGCCTTGTCATTAGCCAAGTGTAAGAACTTAGCCTACAATTTTCTTTCCATAATGAAGGTAAACTTAAAATTAAAATATAGCTTGTGGAATGTGTAGTCAAGAATTGACTTCACCCAAAGAGAGGTCTGGCTTTGCCCTTTGCTACTGGGAGGAGATCTGCAGGCCCCTGGAATGTCCTGTATGACACACCCCTGTTTGCCTGGGGGCTTTGGCCACCAGACAGTCTAAACTTCAGACTTATGAGCCTGAACCTCCAGGAGGGGCTGGAGACTAACAGGCAGCCATGAGGACAGTATGTGATGGAGCTCCATGAAAACTCTGGACACCACAGTGGTGGGAGGGCTTCCTTGCTGGCAATCCTCCCAAGTACCGTCACCACTCAGAGTGGCTGGGAGGTTAATGCTACCCAGGGCTCCACAGGGAAAGGATGACCAGAAGCCCCACGTTTGGACCCTCCCAGACTGTGCCCTGTGTCTCTCTTCTCTGGGCAGATTTAACCTGTATCCTTCCCCTGTAATAAACCGTAAGCATACCAGCTTTCAGCAAGTTCTGCGAGTCCTTTCAGAAAAGGACCAACGCTGAAGGTGGTTTTGCAACTGGTGTCAGAAGTGAGGACAGGGGCTTCCCCGGTGGCACAGTGGTTAAGAATCTGTCTGCCAACGCAGGGGACACGGGTTTGAGCCCTGGTCCAGGAAGGTCCCACAACCGCGGAGCAACTGAGCCCACGAGTCACAACTACTGAGCCTGCGCTCTAGAGCCCGTGAGCCACAACTACTGAGCCCACATGCCACAACTACTGAAGCCCGCGCGCCTAGAGCCCATGCTCCGCAACAAGAGAAGCCACCGCAATGAGAAGCCCGCACGCTGCAACAAAGAGTAGCTCCCGCTCGCCGCAACTAGAGAAAGCCCGTGTGCAGCAACAAAGACCCAACACAGCCAAATAAATAAATAAATAAAAATAAAATAAAATAATTTTTTAAATAAATTAATTAATTAAAAAAAAATTGGTCAAATGATCTTAAACAAGGGTGCCAAGACCATACAATGTGGAAAGGTCAGTCTCTCCCAAATGGTGCTGGGAAAACTGGATATCCATACAAAAGAATGAAATCAGACCCTTAATCTTGTATCACATACAAAAATGAACTCAAAATGGATTACAGGCCCAAACGTAAAAAGACCTAAAACTATAAAACTCCTAGAAAAAAAACATAGGGGAAAATTTCATGGCATTGGACTTAGTAATGATTTCTCAGCTATGACACCAAAAAGCACAGGCAACAAAAGCAAAAACAGACCAATGGGACTACATCAAATATAAAAACTTTTGTGCATCAAAGAACCCGATCAACAGAATTTTAAAAAAGCAACCTACAGAACGGGAGAAAATATCTGCAAAGCATATACCCAATAAAGAATTCCTACAACTCAACAACAAAAAAATCAAATAACCCAGTTAAAAAATGGGCAAAATACTTGAACAGACATTTCTTCAAAGATGATCTACAAATGGCCAAAGAGCATAAGAAAAGACAGTCAACATCACTAATTATCAGAGAAATGCAAATCAAAACCACAATGAGAATCACCTCATACCCATTAAAATTGCTACTATCAAAAGAATAGAAAATAACAAGTGTTAGTGAAGCTGTAGAGAAACTGGAACCCTTGTGCACTGTTGGTGGGATTGTAAAATGGCGTAACCACTATGGAAAACAGTATGGAGGTTCCCCCAACAATTAAACATAGAACTACCATATGATCCAGCAATCCCACTTTTGGGTATATATCCAAAGAATTGAAAACAGGGTCTCAAGATATTTGCACACTCATGTTCGTAGCAGCACTATTCACAACAGCCAAGAGGTGGAAGCAACCCAAGTGTCCATGGAACAAAATGTGGTCCATCCATACAATGGAATGTTATTCAGCCTTAAAAAGGGAGGAGATCCCGACACAGGCTATACCGTGGATGAACCTTGAGGACATTATGCTACATGAAATAAGCCAGTCACAAAAGGACAAAAACCGTCTGATTCCACTTATATGTAGTACCCAGAATAGTCAAATTCATAAAGACAGTAGAAGGGTGGGGGCCAGGGGCTGGCGGAGGGAGATGGGGGTTGTTGTTTAATGGGGACAGAGTTTCAGTTTGGGAGGACAGAAAGTTCCAGGGATCTGTTTCACAACAATGGGAATTAATTTAACACTACCAATGTGTACATTTAAGAACAGTTAAGATGGCATAGTATGTGTTTTTTACCACAATAAAAAAAATTACTTACTGGAGGTCTTCTGCCGTGACTAGTTTTCACAGCTTGCTGAAAAGCTGTGTCATTCTCCAATTCCTAAAACGAAAAGGCAAATTTCACATCCAACATGAAGTGACAATTTTTTAAATGTTTAACCTCGACTGCTTGATGTTCATGATCCTCTATAATCCACCGTCCTCCATCTGCTGACATCCAGGTAGGGCTCAAGGACTCCCGTCCTCAAATCCCCCCCACACTGTACAAAATGCCAAAGTCCCTTCCCCCCTCAGGGAGAGGAGTAATGACAATGTCAGTCAAGTTTAAGGCCATTTCACTGGCTACTGTTCAAATGGGTGCTATCAACACACGTGGTTAAAAGATCAAGTCTGCAAGGATATGGCCTTTCTACTGTTTCTCTTTTCCAAGCAGCTGGAGCAGTAGGAACAGAGAATCACCCCCATCCTTTTTCCCTCTCTCCCTCCCCTCTCTTCTTCCATATTCTGGACCATGGCTAGGAGCCTTACCTGAGAAAACCTTAGGACAGAAAAGGCTGTATTCTCTCCCAGAAATGGGGCAAACACTTGCTCTGGTTTCATCTCTGCTTGCCCAAGTGAAAATGGCTTTTCATCTCACGGGAGAGGTAAAGTCTGAGATTCAGACTAGAGCCAGCCTAGGCTCCAGCGGGTCCAACCTGTGATGCCACTTGGAACCAAAGCCTCCGTTGAAATAAAACGTTACTATGCTTTGCTGATTCCTGACCTATGCTTACATTCTCCCTGAGGAATCTGAGGAAAGTAACATTAGTCAAGTGCAAGATACCAGTGTTTCCGAGTTTCCTGGACAAAATGCCATTGTAGCCTCTCTCAAAAGCACCAAGCCTCGCCAGCTGCCAGTCTAAGCAGCCTTTGTCCCCCGTCTCTTCAGCAGCACAGGTTCGGCTCTAGCCCTCCAGACATCTGTGCTCAGTTCTCACACTCACCTCTGATTTACTGCAATCTACTTCCCACAGAAACATACTTGCTGATTATTAAAAAACAAACACAAACAATACACAAAAAATGGAGTCGATATCAATTAGCTTTTTAAAACCTTGGAGACAATTAAAGTAAAACGTTTGTATAACCAAAACGCTAATACAATGTACTTTAAATGTGATTATGTACAAGGATTCTTCTTTACTTTTACTTCAAATAATCTTCAT